GAAGTTCGGATCCGACTTGAGGCGGCGGCGTCGGCGTCGTCGTCGACGGCGACCGTGACGTGGAGCTTTGCTGCCCACGTCTGGGGATGTCGGCGCTCTGACATCCGAGGCACTCGTGGCCTCGTGTGGTACGGTGGTACCCACACAGGAAGCGTGTCCGACACCTTCCGCTTCAGTTAAGGTCTGGGCGACCGCGTGTGGCACTCTGTTACCCACACAGGAAGCGTATCCGACGTCCTCCTCTTCAGTTAAGGTCTGGGCGACCGTGTGTGGAACTCTGTTACCCACTCCGAACACGCTGTTGTCAGTGTTCGTGACAGCTGCATCTGTCTGCGGAACTAAGTTACCCGCTTGTGGACCTAAGTTACCCACTTGGCCAGCGCCTCTTCTGGGCGCTGCCACCATCAATGCATCCTCGGATCCGTCATATACGTCGACGACCCCCAAGCATCTGCCGATTGCTTTGGTACCCTGGCAGCCCTTGCAGGCGCCCCGGGTCCTGACAGAGGTGGGAACATGACTCACCAATGCTCTGTCGGACTGCGCAGGGCGGCTGGCACCGATTGCCTTACCTCGCCAGTCGATACAGGGCTCGTGCTTCTCAAGCCAGGGCATGCCCAAGATCCTATTGTAAGAATCCATGTCGAGAACAGTAAACTGTTCAAGGCTGTCAAATTCTTCAAACTTGACTACCAGATCCACTTGGACGTTAGGGACAGTGACGACCTTCCCGTCACCAGTCGCACTGACACCGTCCCGTTGCCCTTGCTTTCTCTCAAAGCATCGGACAACTTGTTGCTATTACGAGCAACCGTCTGGCGGGGTGCGAATTTCATCCACGCCCCAGAATCGATCAAGATTCTACAGGGAAGATCGTATCCCCGTACACATCCGTGTACTATGAGCAACCCGCTACTGCTCTTCGCCGATTCGAGAGTGCGAAGCCTCTCAGGGGCTAAGTCCCCGTGGTACGCGCCACCCGCGCACCCATCACGAAGACTTAGTTCTTCCCCAGTAGGGCGCCCCGCCCCTACTGGTTTCCGGCGTTCCCCTGTCCCCGGGATCCTGGCTTCTGTCAGCGACCCTTGTGGACGGGCTTGGGGAAAGACCGTCTGCGGAGCCTCTCCGCGGAACTGTCGCGCTTGAAGTGGCACATCATCCCGCAGCCGAAGCAGCGGATGTCACGCTGTTCGGCGGACCCGGGTACCATGGGAACTGGTCTGTTGGGGCTCGTTCGACCGGGAGTCGACAAGGAACGCCCAGGCCACGCTGAGGCCGGCGTACGCGCCTAGCGATGACTGTACTCTTCTTAGAGAGCAACTTGAATCGCCTCTTCAAGGGTGTTTGACTGCACCCGGAACAGCCGAGTGCGTGCGGGGCCCACTCGAATGCCGTCCATGAACACAGTCATCTTGATGTGTTCGTTAAGTTGGTTTCCCACTATGGACGCGTGAGCTCCCGTATCTCTTGCACGTACTCGTGCAGCTCACGCCTCCCTTGTTTGCACGAGAGGAAGCGCGAACGCTGGCGGTACTCGTAGTTCGCCGGGAGGAACGCGGCTCGGAGCTGTTCACACAGCTGAGTCCAGGATGTGAAACATCCAGGGGATGTTGCCTCCCGTGTGTACACCCAACACGTAGCACGGCTGCTAAGGTTGGGGGGTGCAAAAGCAACACGAAGTTGCTCGGTCGAGATCAGAGTCGCATCCATTGCGAGCTCCACTTCTCGGACCCAAACGTCATGGCTCTCGCCTTCCTTCCCTTCATACGGCTTAACCTTCAACCGTATTGGCTTCGGGTGAGGCGGATTTGCTTCCGCCGCCAGGGCCTGCAGGTTCTCCCGCTTATGCGCGATGAGCCCCTGCTCGTACGCGTCAAATGCATTGACGCGCTCGAGCTGCTCGGCCGGTGTTGACATCACCAGGCTCTGCAGAGCCTCCATCCTGAAGATGCCTGCCATCTTCCGAACCGACTCGAACTGAGAGTCGTTCATACGGGAGATGTCGTTCCTATCCATGGCAACGAACTTCGGAGAGGTTCAGGTAGTCAACCTGCGGTGGCGTTGATTGACTACAAGTGCTACCAAGTGTGACGGGGTTACACAGCACCTTGCGCTAGAGGAAGTTAGCTTACGAGAGTATACAAACTCTCAGTGAGCGGCAGCTCACAGGTCCCCTCTTTATCCAAAGAGAGCGAAGTGACCTATTTAAGGTATAATATAAACTGAGTATATTTATAGGTAGATAAAGCTTGGGCTTAATACAAACTATAAGTCACCTATAGAAATGCAATGTCATCAGCCAATGGTTGGCTTTGGACGACCTTGGTACCTTGTACCAAATATCCCGAAGTATGACGTGTCATACTTCATGTAACTAGGGTACACTTAGTGCTACGTACCCCGTTACACGGTCGGTGCCACATGGATTTCTGGAGTGCTGATAGTATACTTTTGGTGTTTTGTTAACAAAGACTGGTGTAAACAGTACTCCCTCGCTTCATAGTTTGATAATTGTGATCATCCACTCCTGTCTAGCATAAGTAATGTACACCTTTGGGTGGTGTACGGTACACAATTTGCTTGACTAATTAGAATGTACTGTACGTACTTCATTCTGAAGCACTACCATACAGAGGACGGATAGCATTTTGATCTTTAGAATTTGCCAGTCTGCGCGTCGCAAAGGCAGCCGTTTCTGCGATAATGCTCGAAAGCTCGACTCTACGCCCGCTTTTGAAAATACAGCGCGGGTTTGCTTTGGCTACGCGACCTACCATTCGCTCGCCTCCGCTAAACATTCTCCGTTCGATATGCGCTCTATTTCATATCAGTTGGGTACGAATCACTCTGATGTTTTTTTTTTCTCTTTCCATTCCAGATGATCATCTCCGTATTAATTTTCCCAATAGTAATGCTCTCTAACTAAAGTGATTGAGAGGTCTCTTGATGACCGCTTGCTTACAACGACAACTGACCTATATCCTCTCATTAGCGAATTGTGATACGAAAATTTTGGCTATTGTTATTCAGAGGCACTGAGCTATTGTTTGGTCCGTTCTGTCAAAATCGATTGAAGAATGATAACAGTAACATATATGCTGTTTCCCTAGGGTTTGGTGTGGCAAATGTTCAGATCCATGTAAATGCAATAGTAAAACGCTTTTTATTGTCAGCCAGCCGCCCAATTCGAGGGAACGGGCCTGTTCCCAACCGAAGTATTTCTAGGGAAAGCGGACCCAACGGTGCGACTTTGCAGTCAGAGCTTTCAATGGTATGGCTTCGAGTAGGTTTTAGTGCTTCAGGATGTTTTTAATCGCTGCCTGTGATAAAGCGCGCTACCAGCTTCAGCCTGAAGCTGGTCCTTGCTTAACGAAGGATTCTCGGCTTTGTGGCGGCAGGTTGCCGCTGTTCATTCGTTAGCCTGCTTCGCGATGTGGGTGGGGCTTTAGTGAGCGAAGGTGTACGCGGTATTGCAGTTTAGGGCGGGGAATTAATATATTTTATCGCAAGCCGGGTCGTGTTTACCTTATACTTGGTACAACTCCTTTTAGTGATTCATTTATAATAATAAAATGGGGCTTCCGACGCTATCAATACGAGAGGATCGTCTGTACCATCCTTAAATTAGGTACATGTACCGCCCTGCTGATTTCTTCATGGTTTTTAATCGATCTTAGAAGTGGCACGGAACTTGGAAATTTGGCTGAGCTTACCTTACCACTGTGCCAGTAGTGACTGAACCTCTTCTGAAGTACAGTGTGACAGCACATTTGTAAAACACGAAGACTTAAGTTCAGATTGGATACTGGTACACCAAACGAGATTATTTATACCAGTGCTAAGTCTAATTCACAGCATGGTCTTTGTTGTACTTGGTAGCATACGTGAAGAACTTCTCCAAGTTGGGGTTGTTCATTCTCGCGACCTCTGAATCCGCAATGAGTTTGAGCTTCGGGTCTAGCTTGAGCGCCTCAAAGTACGCCTCTAGACTGATCTTGTTCTGCAGGAGAACGTCATCTGCGACCTTCATCGAGATCAGGTCTTCCGCCTTTGCGACTTCTCTCTTGCGGGCCTGGCTTTTGTAATAGAAGCCCGAGTACGAGAAAAACTTCTCCAAGCCAGGGTTGTTCTGTCTCGCAGCAGGCGAATCGGCGATTAATCGAAGCTTCGGTCCAGCTTCAGTGCGTCAAAGTACGCCTCGGGACTAATCTTGTTCTGGTACAGAACATCATTCACGACGCCCTTCTTGATTAGATCTTCCGCCTTTGCGACTTCTTTTTTGCCAGTCCAGAAGTTCGAGTACGTGTAGAACTTCTTCAAGCCAGGGTTGTTCTGTCTCGCCACCGGCGAATCAGCGATAAATTTGAGCTTCGGGTCCAGCTTCAGTGCGTCAAAGTACGCCTCAGGACTCATCTTGTTCTGGTACAGCACATCATCCGTGACGGCGCCCTTCTTAATCAGGTCTTCCGCTTTCTTTAATTCATTCTTGTATGTCAAAGACTGAACCTTTACTGACACCTTCTCAGCCAGCGTCTGATACTTCGTCGTCGCCACCTGACCCGGTTTCGTCTTGGTGAACCAAGACTTGAGCTTCACCAGCCAAGCCTTCAGCTTTGTCACAAGATCCGACATTCCACGTTCTTCATTGTTTGCGTTCGTGGCTCTGTCACGAGCCGTCCTTGGATGGGACGGTCGACGCTGTATAGAAGTAGAACAGTATGGAGATATAAACAGAAGCAACAAGCTAAAGACAAATGTCAACACAAATTCTTTTCTGCTTGTTTTCTCCAAGGAAAATTCACGACTGACCTCTTTCCTTCTTCCTTGCGGCCCGCACTTCGTCCTCCATGGTCCTCGTTCCCGCCGTCAGGCACCGTTTCGCAATCATCGTCCACGATTTTGTACACCACGACAGCGAGGCGGTACCGCTCACCCCACCGCCTCACCGCGAAGATACACTGTCCTTCAGTAGCTCCGGTCCCCCATGACTTCCGTCCTCGTCATCCACGGGGACCGTACGCTCTAGGCGCGCTTGTCCCACGGAGACCGAGGCCGACCCACAACTTCTCAGCGACTCCGTCGTGGCCCTGCATGGCCTTATCGAAAGCGTGGCCCACACGAATCTGGTCGGCCGTCGAAAAGTGCGGAGGAGGGTAACGGAACTCACCGTGCCCAAGACGGTGGCCGCCAGAACCACTCGTGACACCCTCCCCGACTGAAGCTTGACGCCCTCGTCGAGCACCCGTAGGGCCTTGATCAGCTTTCCGGGCACGGTGAGCATCTCGGCGCACCCGCACTTCGCTCAGCCGACGCACCTTTGGCTTGGGACCCACACAGCCGTCGCCCTTCCAGAACGCTTCGCTGAGGCGCTCGGCCTGCTCCTGCTCCTCAAGGTCCTTCGTCCACCGGGCGTATCTGTCCTCAGCGACTTGCTTAGGCGTGCGTCGGCCCTTGGAGGCCTCTCCCCACCGCAGTAGGCGACTAGTAACGGCTAGCAAGACGGTCAAACCACTGGCAAGCACCACATCGTCGTTCCAGACGAATCCGCCGTCGACACCCAAATGCCCCTCCGCCAGTACGTATTTCCCCAGCTGTAGTAGCGCCCCGACGCCGCAGCTTCCATAGAGAATCCATTCCACAAACGCGTACACGTAGACGGCCGTGTACAGGCCGGCGTAGGCAAACAATCCCATTAGTGACGCGAAAGCGCGGAAAACACAGCACGCACGGTCCATTGCTCGGTGACACTCCGCGCTGGAACCAATACAATACTTCACTGTAGACTTGCAGCTCAACGCGATCACGTCGGGTAGGAACACGCACCACAAGGCGTGATAGGCCTCCAGCCAGCGGTGGGCAAGACGTCCCAACCCGTCCTCGCTTTCCGCCTCGTCCTCTAGCACCACCATCGGCGTCTGGAACAACGCCTCGTACAGCTTCCAGCGACGCACTGCCGGAGTCCTTTCCGCAATCCTCACGTAGTCGGCGAAGATCCGGTAGCGCCGGATGCAAGTCTTACACAGCCCGGTCCACTTGATCGCAAATTCCAATACAGCGCCGACGATCCGCCCCACCACACACCACAACGCCTTGGTGATCATCCAGCCGACGGCGCCGCTCAGGGCCCAGAGCAATCCAGACCAGTGGCGGACGGCTGCCGCCCACGCCATCTCTGTCCACGGATGACGCACGACGCTCCACCCAAACGCCCAGCAGATCCCGGCAAGCCAGACGCACCACTCCGTAGCCTCAGCGAGCAACTCAATCATCGTAGCGCAGCCCCGAACGCAGGGAGTCCGATCTTTGAGTAGTCGTGCGTACCAGCGCTAGGCCGGTCCAGATAGGCAGGAGCCATCAATCATCGTTAAAAGAACTTCATCACCGTCACTTCTCGGCGCTGGGGCGAGTCCACGCCGTAACCCACAATCCATCGTAGTCGGATCTGGGACCGTGCCGGGCCCTCGTCACAAACCGTCGATCACGGTGGACAAACCGTCTCCCCCACCAGCGCATCTGGCGTATCACTAAACCATTGACGGTCCCTGACTAGGTCAAGAACCATCAGCCTAGCGATAAGATCCAGACTTTCTCGCATTTCCGCATTCGTTTCCTTCTCCTCACGCCGCCGCAGCTCTTCCCGCCTTCAACCATGGCCAAGACCAAGAAATTCAGCAAGGATGTCGTCGTCCGCCGTCTCCGCGCCCGCCTCGACGGCAAGGGCAAGCCGTCGGAGGAGGACAATGTCCTGCGCGCCCAAGTGGACTTCTACGCCGAGCTCCGAGATCACCTGGTCGTCAACGAGGCCTCCTCGGGGCTGCAGGCAGTCGACGCCCTTGCCCTCGCCCTTATCGCGGATGACGACTCCCTACCGGCCACGCTGACGGAGGTCGTGACGCTGTTGCCGCCGCCCGGCTCCTTTGAAGACGGACAGCCCCCGACTCATGCTCTCTTTGCGCCGGAGCCCGACACGACCATCAAGCGTCCTGCCCCGCGCAACAAGGCCCAGTCGAAGCGTCCGGCCAAAAAGCGACGCACCACCGCGAACTCCCTGAAGTATTGCCTCGAGCTCCCCGACGACGTGCCGGCCGCGATCCGTCGTGACGTGGATCGCCTTATCAAGGAGGCGGCAGGACGAGGGACGACTCCTTTCCGGCTGGCGTATCCGTGGTCCGGGCAGCGAGCCTGGTACGACCCGCAAGAGCCTCCGCTGCTTCATCTTCTGCACTGACGCTTCTGGATGATGCACCGCGCTACGTTCTTCATCTGCGCCCTCTACGCACCCACCGGCAACTCCGACGCACGCCGCAAGAAGATGTCCGTCGCCCGTGCAGGCCCGTTTGCGGTTCATCAGCGCGAACATCGAGGTGTTCGGCTACTACAGCTTCCTGGGCCCAGCTGGAGGACAAGGCCCACGACACCCTGATGTGGTACGGGGGCAAGGCGGCCGCTCACTCGGTAGCGGCCAAGACTCAAGCCGCCCAAGTCGACCTAGCGACGCTCTACAAGAAGGATAGGGCTCTCTACGACCGGACCATCGCCCGCGCTCTCGATCCGTTCTCCATCGACGAAGACGGCTACAGTTCCGTTCCGGAGCTGCTGGAGCAGACCCAGGCTGGGGACATCACTCGGAAGCCCCACCTACGCCTCTCGGACGTCGCTCTGGGCCGCATCGCCATGAACGTTGCCAGCCGGTCGCCTCCCAACCCTGCTTGGGTTGGTAACAAGACTAGCGGCGTTTGGAAGCGGCTCCTCTCGGATCGGTCGCTCCGCGAGGTGCAGACCAACATTGTGCAGCAGCAATTGGACGGTACGTACGAAGCGCTGGACGACGTCAAGCCTTACGACGTGACCGAGCGAGGGGCCGACGACTCCGACTTCGAAGGCGAAGACGACGACAGCTATTCGGCCTTGCCTCCTTCTGCGCCTCTTCCAGCCCGGCCCTCGCTCACAGTTTCCGGCTCCGACGGCGACGAGGACGAGGAAGACAAGGTCGACGAAGCCGACGACGCCGCCGAGGACGCCGAAGACGAAGAAGAAGAGTTCGAAGACCGCGAAGAGGCAGCCGGCGATGAAGAGGAAGCGGAAGACGGCGAGATCACGGAGAGCAAGGCCACCTCCAAGTCTAACAGCGACGCGCCCTCGGTTAACCGCAGCCACGGTTCGGGCGTGACGTCCTCCAAGAAGTCTTCGGACGACGGGGAGGCTAAGAAGGCCGCCGCGGCCACCAAGAAGACCAAGTAAGTACCGCCAACCCGCGCTCAGCGTCGTATCGTAGTGTAGTGCCTCCCGTTCGTACTCGAAATCCCTTCCCTAATACTCTTGCTTTCGTTAATCTTTCTTTTGTTCCCTTTGTCAGTTCGTTCCATCGTTTCTCTTTTCCAAATATAAACATGTAATATAAACTCCACACCTGGTCCGTCCGCGTAAGAGTCCTGGTACCCAATCCACTTATCGAAATTTATCCAACCCTGACACCTCAGACACTTATTCACGGACATAGGCTACTCCATCAGTAAATCGTCATCACCGACCTCCGCGTTCGCATCCGCCAGGCGAGACCTCCGTCTTAACTCGGGTAACCGCTGCTTCTTCCGTTCGGCTTGTTCGAAAGCCGAGATCAGCGACTCGTACTCAGGCGACAGCGCCGCCCTCGGCAACCAGAACGTCTCAAAGTTAGCGGCCAGCGCCAAATACTCGATGCCACGGTTAACCACACGTTTGGCCACCACCTCCAGTAGAGGAGCAGTGACTCCTGTCAGCGCAGTGTCCCCCATTCCGACGGTCAACCTCTCCGAGAAACTGGAAACAGGCAGATCAGCCTCGTCCAGCGGACCGTCTTCGATCTCGTCACCGTTCCCCTCCAAGCCCTCGGGCACTTCATCCATGAAGGGCCGAGGCCTCCGTCCTCGGAACTTCTTGAGTCGGTTGACGGATACAGGCACGACTCGGTCGGGGTGCGAGGGTATCGCAATCCTGCAAGTGTTGTCGCCCACCTTCTCAACTACTCGGCAAGGCCCGTGCCATGAGAACGACAATTTCTTCGTGTGCACTTCTCCTCGCTTGGTCCTGAGCACCTGATAAACCCAGACCGGGTCATCTACTGCAAACTCCACAGCGACTTGACGGTCCAGTCTCTTTTCATGGCGGTCCTGCGCCTTCAGCAACTGTCGCTCCACGAGGTGTCTGGAGTCGCGCAAGGATCGGAACCGTTCACGCCTATATCGGGCCACTTTGTTGCTCTTCCACTTGGTGCCCAAGTTCAGGAATGCCACATCCAGCGGCAACGCCGGGTCACGTCCGTATAGTGAGAAGAAAGGAGTGTCACCGAGAGCCTCGTGATACGATGTCCTGTACGCAAACAACACCCGTTGCAGGTAGAGGTCCCAGTCCGTCTGAGCATCGCTCACATGCATCCGTAGCATCCCAATTAATATACCATTAAACCGTTCGACTAGACCTTGCGTTTGAGGATGGTACGCTGACCCAAACAGCTTCTTGATCCCCAAAGTCTGATAGAATGACTTGGCCACCTCAGACGTGAAGTTCGACCCGTTGTCGCTCAGCAGTCGCGACGGCACTCCGTGCCAAGCGACCACTCCGTTCGCCATAGTATCCACGAAAGTTACCGCATCCAAACGTTCTACTGCAAAGGCTTCCGCCCACCGCGTGAAGTAGTCTACGAACACGAGGATGTACAGGTGACCTCTCCCAGTCAAGGGCAAAGGTCCTATAGCATCGACCACTAGCAGTGAAAACGGACCAGCCAGGTCAGCCACCGGCATGCGTTGCATGAGTCCAGAACGCCACGGTCGCGGTCCTTTCCCGCCGCTACACTCGCTGCAGGTGCGGACGTACTCTTCAACATCTTTCGTCCAGCCTGGCCAAAAGGCATGCCGTCTAACCTTCTCCGTCGTCTTCGTCAGTCCCATGTGAGACGACAGCACGTCCTTGTGACAGAAATGCAGCACCGTTTCCACGTATGTCAAGGGCACGACGGGGACTGAGACCGAGCGAGCAGGGCCGGCTCGAGCCGCCAAGTTTACGCGACGCAAGAGCATCCCTTCTTGGACGGAGTACCTGGGTCCCATCCGCACCAATCGCGCTCGCAGGTACGGATCCAGCGGCAACGCTCCGTCCAGCAAGAAGGCCACCAGCGCCTTGATCCACGGCACCTCTAACTGTTCACTCACGAACTGTTCACGATCAAGGCTAAACTGGTCGACGGGTGACGGGGCGACCGTCCGACTTCTTCTCTGACAGGATCCTCGCGTAATCCAACCGGCCCAGGGTCGTCAACGTGCCCATTGGCCGGGTCACCAGCAGCTCTGTCGGCGTATTCAACTTCTTCGTCCGTCTCGGGACTCGAATGCTCCCCGACTGAAGACGGACCCACGTCGTCGTCGTGTGGATTCAGTAGGTCGTTCATAGTCAGCGCCGCCACTTTGCCCACTGGTAGCCGAGAGAGACCGTCCACATGCCCCATAGCCGTACCGGGCTTATGGTGTACCTTGAACTGCAGACTCGACAGCTCCATGGCCCACCGGGCCATTTTAGCGTTCGAAGTCCGATTGCCGGGACTGAAGACCCACGTAAGCGCTTGGTGGTCCGTGTACACGTCGAACTCGCGCTTGTCGAGATAACTCCGAAACTTACGCGTCGCCCAGACGACGCCCCAGCACTCAATCTCCGAAATCCCATCCTGGTTGTTAATTTAATTCTTCTGCGAACCGGTCAACAACTTGCTGGCGTAAGCCACTACACGGTCACGGCCATCAACTTCCTGCATCAGACAAGTGCCGACGGCGTACCGGGAGGAGTCCACAAACAACTTGAATCGCCTCCGGCCGTCCGGATAGGCCAGGATAGGAGGCTTCATAAGAGCTCTTTTCAGCTGCCGAAACGAAGCCTCGCAGTCCTCGTTCCACTCAAACGGAGCATCCTTCGCTTTCAGTCTCTCCAGAGGCGCCGATATCGCCGCATATCCAGGGATGTACCTCCGGAAATAGCTCGTCAGGCCCAAGAACGACCGAATCTCGTGCAGGTCCCTCGGCGGCCGGATGTTCATCACCGCTTTCACTTTCTCAGGGCTCGGTAGAATGCCGGCCGGCGTCACAATGTGACCCAAGAATGCCACCTGACTCCGCCCCCAATGACACTTCTTCATCTTGAGCTTGAATCCCGCCTCACGGAACCGAGTCAGCACCTGACGGACACGCACTAGGTGCGTAGGGAAATCCTTGCTGAAGATCACACAGTCATCCAGGTACACCAAGCACACTCGCCACTTCAGGTCCACTAAGACGGTCTCCATCAACCGTTCGAACGCCGGCACCGCATTACAGAGTCCAAACGGCATCACCAGCCACTCGTACAGGCCAAACTTACACGTGAACGCCGTCTTGGCCACGCTGCCCTCGTCCATCGGCACGTTCCAGTAACCGGACGCGATGTCCATCGTAGAGAAGATCTGAGCACCTCCTAATACATCCAGGATATCGTCAATCAGTGGCATAGGATAGCAATCCTTCACCGTCACAGCATTAAGCTTCCGGTAATCAATACAAAAGCAAATTCCTCCGTCCGGCTTCCGGATCATCAGGACGGGACTAGCCCACGGACTGTTCGACGGCCTGATCAACCCGAGATCCAGGTATTGCTGCACTTCAGCCTCCATGACTTCCCCTTCCGCCATCGACACACGGTAGGGCGGCTGGCTTATTATCCCCGGTGTCTATCTCAAACTTGAGTCGATCTGTCCTCCCTGGTTTTATGGATGACGTGACGAATAAGTCGTCGAAGCCGATCAGCTCCTCGCGGAACAGTTCAATCGGTTCGTCCGTCAACTTGGACTGTGAGAACCCGCCTCGCCCTTCTCTTCCTTGTCGGGCGGCACCGTCGGCTCGGGGCTCTCGATCTTCTCGAGCTCCACTAACTCAACGTTCCCCGAGGCCGACGACGCCTTCGCTTCTTGGGACTCCGTCGACTCGACCGCCGCGCCGGTAGGCACGGAAGGCGAAAGAGGGCCAAACGCCGACTCGGGAATCACGGACACGCAAGCGACCGTGGAGCCCTTCTTGACCCAACTCACGTCGGACGACGCATTGCACACCTCGACTAGGACCTGGCCGTTTTCCACCATGCACAAGGTCCGCGCGACACACAGAGTAGGCGAGAGACCAACAGTGCTTTCCACCAGGACCGTAGTCTTGTCAGCAGCGTCGCCGACGACGTTGGCCATCACTAGAGCTTGTCCTAGCGGAGGCAGGCGTATCGAGGCGGCCATCTGAGCCATGTAGGCGTCCTGCACCACCGTGTACCCGAGCGGTAGCTCCTCACCGGTACCCTTGAGCGTCATCCTTCGTTCGCCGACATCGATCACCGCCCCAAAAGCACCCAAGGCGTCCACCCCCAAAATGGCGTCGACGTGCAACTTGTCAGCTATCAGCACACTAAGGGAGACCTCCACAGTTCCCAGTCGCAGTGAGAGACCGATCCATCCCCGTATCTTGAGAGGGTGTCCCGACGAGCTCTTGACTTAGCCGCCGTACGGCTCCAGCGTCTCCTGGGACCGGCCCAATCGCTTGAATACTCGACTGTCCACGAGACTCAGAGTCGCACCAGTGTCGGCCAGCATCTGAGACGGTAAGCACTCAATGTACCCACTCGAGAGTGCCTCAAAGATTTCAACGGCGCACACGACTTGCCGGCCATCCTCGACCACGACATGGACATCGGCTCTTCCGTCACGTGGGAGACGCCAAACCCACCAGGCAGCTCCACGGTAACTACTTCCACCAAGCCGGTCTTCGGCACCTCGTAACGACCCTCGGTGACGGCCGCACCACCTCCACGTAGTGGGAGGCGTCGTCTTCGTCCTTGGGATAGAACAGCAGCTCGCACAACCCAGCCGTTGGCTCGAAGAGCGTAGAGACATCCATCCGCCGGGCCGCTCTCCGCCGCTCACGGCGTCGTGCCGACGAATTCCTCCCCCTTTAGCCCGCAGGAGGAGCTTGGTCCAGACGAGAGCCCCTTCCACCTCTAAGTACGCTATGAGGTATGTCTCTAAACGTCCCCCACGGTATCCCGCTCTTAGTAAATCCAGCTGCCCCCCTTTCGGCGAGAGCACGGAGACGCTGCCAATCCGCAGTAGGCGCCTTGTCCCACCTAGGCTGAACTCCGTCACTCGTAGGTCCGTCTTCGCCGGGCGTCGACGCCGTCGCGCTACCAGCCTCCAAGCACTCTTTCAACCAGCGATAAGCGGCGGTACGCGCCGCCGCACGTACGCCTCGACGATCAACTACCGGAGAACTGTCACCAGGGCGTGAAAGTCTTCCGTCTTCTCCTCCAGCATCAGTTTCGACGGCGGGCAACAGGATGTTGGCACAGACGTCGTCCTCACCTCGATCCTCCACTCGTCGGGGAGTCTCACGGCCCTCGTTCAGCTTCTCCGACGGCGACGACCTTCTTAGGGTAGTAATAACCGTACGCACAGCATTTACTACGGGCGTCTTGAAGTCTCGATTGGCCCGCTTGGCCTCCTCGGTCGTCTCCAACGTCTTCCGGAACCAGTCTTGCCAGTGCTCCGGCGATGCAAGCTCTCCAGGGAAGGCACGGCGAGTTCGCTCCAAGACCTCGGGCGAGATGTTCAACAACCGAGACAACTCCGCTATCGAAGGATCCCTTACGGCCTCAGTGTTTAGCCGCACACGCTCCAATACAACGGCTTCGTCCAACGGGTACAAACGGTCTTCTAACTCCTTGTCATATTCTTCACTTTCCGTATTAACTTTCGTGCCAGCTAAAACCGTAGCCTCTTGGCCGGGCTCACACTCCTCCATGGCGTCCAGTTCCGCATCCGTGAAGATACAGCCAGTTTCAGTTTGCTCGATCTCCTTGCTCGGTTTGGCATCCTCGTCCGTGTCAGCCTCCTTGTTCCTGTACGTCACAGCGGCGCTAGGTCCATCAGCACTGCTTACCCCTTCCGCACGCATCCTTCGTTCCGGCCGCGTCTTCTGCCCCACAGGCAGACTCTCCACAGGAACCGTGACGCCGTCGACAGCGACGGTAGTTCCCACCGTAGAAGCCACCTTGGATAGATCCATGGCTACCTTCTCACACCGTTCCGGGGCGTCGTTCACCACCACAAGGTTTCCCTCTTCTTCCGTGCCTACTATCCGGATAACCCTCTTTTCCTTCGACTTTTTCTCCTTTTCCTTCGTCTTCTTCTCTTTCTGCAGCACAACAGCCACCGCGCTGTCCTCTTTCCCCGTCACTGCTACCTCTCCATCAACGTCCACTGTAACGGCCTTGTCTCCTCCATCCTTCACTCGGCCGCCACTCGAGTCATCCACTTGACCAGAGGAAGGAGTGACTCGTTCTTCCCCTCCCTCACGCTCCCGGCATTGACGAGAAGCTTCGGCCGTCGACGCCTTCAGAGTCGTGGCCAATCCCTTCAGAGTAGCGATCTCGGGACACTGAGAGACACTATGACCGATCTGGTGGCAGTAGAAACACCGCATCGTCGAGTTTCCTCCTCCGTTTCCACCGCTAGGCGGGCCACGGGCCCCGGTATACGGCATCTCACACTCAGCCACAATATGACCGTAGTGGTTACACCGTCGGTAAGTCATCGGGTGGCGCGAACACGTCACGCGAGTGTGACCCTTGTAGTCGCATCGGCCACAGACAGGTTCTCCTTCTTGCGTGTGGGAATCCTCCGCCATCTTGATGCCTCGACGGGCACGATTACCTCCGAACGGACCAGCTCCACCAGCGGGAGGGAGCTGTCCGTGGCCTCCGGAGCTCGGCACCACCGCCGATACAGTAGGCACCGCAGCCGGCGGCACGGACGGCAAATCTTCCATCACCTGGTGTTGCCATTCCTGCTGCTGCAACAGGAAGTCGTCCAGCTTCTGGGTTAGAGCGTTCACAGTCGCCGTGTGACTATCAGTCCTCGCCCGCGACTCGTCAGGAAATTCGTCGTCTTCCTCCACAGGACGATGCATGTCCTTAAACATTAGCCACTCGCACGCCTCCGGAATATCTCGAGCCGGGCTTGAATCTAGAGCAGCCAGCATCCTCTTGTTCTTCAGGCCACGACGGAACAGCTGATATTCATTTTAGGGTTCGGATAGTCGAGGGAGTCGCACAGATCCGTGACTCGGTCTCCCCATTCCTCCACAGACTCGCCACGTTCACGCTTAGTGGAGTACAGTCTCTCCCAGAGCTCGTCAGCCGTCCTGCTGAGGAACCGGTTGTGGAAACGCACCTTCAGCGTCGCGAACGACTTGATGCTGGAGTTGCTCCACCATCTTTCGGCCTCACGTCCCTTCAGCTTCTGTCGGAAAACCAACAGTCGCTCTCTGTCTGGCAACCGGTCAGTGTGGTCCTCGAACAGCTCCCAGAAGTCGCGCGCCTTCTCCACCGTAGCCGTGTCCGAGTAGAGCATCGGCAGCACCTTCATCACAGTCGACATCTTCGTGGTCCAGTCTTCACGCCTCGGCAGGCGTGACGGCCCAGGCAGGGCCCGGACCGGTGGTCGAACACCAGCACGCGGAGGGGCCTGCGGACCTCGCGGCACCACTGCCGAACGCGGCGGAACGCCCGGGGCGCTCCCTACTAGTCCCGACCAAGCAGGGCGCGGACCAGTCCTACGTATTCCAGGCGGAGCAGGATGCGTCCGGGTCGCCGCGTTATTCTGACCTCCCGTAGCAGCAGTAGCCGTCCGAGCAGTACCCGTCCCAGGCACGCTCGGTCCCGTGGTTCTGTAAGGGGCCACCGGATTGGCAGCGATCGTCTTCTTAACAGCGACAGGCGGAGCCTCGTAAGGCTGTTGGGGCACGGACGCCGTGTACGCGAACACCGTGTTGTCCGAGGGTGCGAACCCCTTGGACGTCCAGCTCCAGTCAAACGCCGGCCGGTCCCAGCGGCGCTCCTCGGTTCCAGTGTACTGCGGAATGAATCCACTGGGGCTCTTCTTCTTGGCCGGTTCCCAATTCTCGACGGAAGGCTCGTCCTCCTCGTACTGGCCGAACACTTCCCAGCTGCCGTGCTCATAGGCAAGTTGGTAGTCGTCCCCAAGAGGAACGCCCTCCTCTACCAGGGGTACCTCATCCGGGTCCGGCGACACCGCCTCCGTACCGGGCGCCGGCTCCGTTTTCACCTCTCCTTCTACCTTGACCGCGTCTTTGACGCCACCCGTCATCTCCAACCGGCCTTCTCTAGCCGCCCGTAGCTCGTCGCGCGTGCTCTTACGTAGAGCGTCCCGATCAGCAGCGGTTGTCACTCCCACAGGAGCCTTCTCTTACATCATCTTCATCTTTTACATCCTCCGTC